AGGGAGATTTAGGTTCAGTGTTAGGAAGAAAGTCTTTATTCAGAGGATGGAGAGCCACTGGAACATGTTGCCCCAACTGTAGAAGTGCTGCTGGTCAAACTGGGGATTTGAACAATGGTCTAATGGAAGATGACTGCAGGAGTTTACAGTCAGATAATCCTTAAGGTCCCTTTCAACCCAAACCGTTCTATGATTCTATAATTACAGAATCACAGAATGAGGTTTCTGGGATAGTGGCCTTGAGTTCTGTAAGAACAAAGGATTATGTTTCAGAAAGATGAAATGTTGCATTTTAGTTTGGCCATGCTAGTAACTTTGTACACTTGTTTAGAAGAGCTGGGCAAAGCAGAACTCACTGCAGACTCACAGAATCACAGAATCACAGATCGGCAAGGTTGGAAGGAACATTTAACACTCCCCATTCAATACTAGACCAGACTGCCCAGGGCCCAATCCAATCTGGCCTTGAACACCTACCAGGGATGGGCTATCCACAACCTCTCTAGGCAGCCTGTTCCAGAACCTCATCACTCTCTCTGTAAAGAACTTCCCCCTAACATCCAGCCTAAATCTTCCCTCCCTCAACTTAAAAACCTTTCCCCCCATCCTGCCATTACTACCCTTTCAAAGAGTTGATTCCCCTCCTGTTTATAGGCTCCCTTTAGGTATTGAAAGACTGCAATGAGGTCACCCCGCAGCCTTCTTTTCTCCAGGCTGAACAAGCCCAGCTCCCTCAGCCTGTCTTTGCAGGGGAGGTGCTCCAGTTCCCTCTCCCCTCCTCTCCTCTCCTCTCCTCTCCTCTCCTCTCCTTTTAACTGTGCCTTTTGGTACGTAACCATATTAAGTTTATATTTCTAGGCTATAACGTATGTCACCTCTGAAATTCCCTGAGAAGTACTGTGCAACTAAGAATTTAAGCAGGAAAGATAAATAGAAAAAAAGAGAAAACTTTGCTGTGTTTTCAAAATTCTTTGATGTCAGGAAGAAAGAAAAAAACCTAAATGCTCACAGTGCAAGGTTTTGCATTTGGGCCGGAAGAACCCCAGGCACCCGTACAGGCTGGGAGGAGTGGTCCTTGAGAGCAGCTCGGCAGAGAAGGACCTGGGGGTCCTGATGGACGAGAGACTTAACATGAGCCAGCAGTGCGCTCTGGCAGCTCGAAAGGCAAATGGGATCCTGGGCTCCATCATGAGAGGGGTGGTCAGCAGGGACAGGGAGGTGATTGTCCCTCTCTACTCGGCTCTTGTGAGGCCCCATCTGGAGTACTGTGTCCAGGTGTGGAGCCCTCAGTACAAGAAAGACATTGAGATTTTGGAAAGGGTCCAGAGGAGGGCGACTAAGATGATCAGGGGGCTGGAGCACCTCCCCTATGAGGACAGGCTGAGGGAGTTGGGCTTGTTCAGCCTGGAGAAGAGAAGGCTGCGGGGTGACCTCATTGCAGCCTATCAATACCTGAAGGGAACCTACACCCAGGAGGGGAGTAAACTCTTCAAAAGGGCTGACAACAGCAGGACTAGGGGAAATGGATCGAAGTTGAAGGAGGGAAGATTTAGGTTGGATGTTAGGGGGAAGTTCTATACAAGGAGAGTGGTTAGGCCCTGGAACGGGCTGCCCAGGGAGGTTGTGGATGCCCCGTCCTTGGATGTGTTTAAGGTCAGGTTGGACAGGGTCCTGGGCAACCTGATCTGAATGTGTGTGTTTGGTGGCCCTGCTAGGCAGGGGGGTTGGAACTACATGATCCTTGAGGTCCCTTCCAACCCGGGTGATTCTGTGATTCTGTGATTCTGTGATTCTGTGATTCTGTGAATCTTGTGAATGACATTGGGTATGACGTTAGTTAGAATAATAGTAAGACTAGTAAAAGACTGCTACTAATGTGTGACTTTATCTTCAGATCAGTGAGAGATAGTAGGTGTGATAAATCTACTTTCTCTCATTCTCTTTCAACTTCTCTTTCACTTTCTCCAATTTCTTAAATCTAACATGTGGTTTCTTTGATTTCTTTTCATACCACTTACCCCATTATTTCATCTTTTTATCACAGAAGTTGTAATGTACTTGTGCACGAGACTTAACCTTCTATATTATAAAACAAACAAACAAACAAACAAACAAACAAAAAAAAAAAAAAAAACCCACAGCTTGGATGTTTCAGAGTTGCTATATAACTTTGGACATACTTCCTTGAAATTACTGGTTAAATTTTAGACTTGAATGTGTAAATTAAGCATTAGAATTTATGTATGTCAAATCTGGCCAACTTTTTATTTCCAGTGGTGTTGGTAATTTAGAAATAGATCAAAATTTGTACAGAGGAATTCCAGTGAAATAAGACCTTTCATTTTTAATCTTATTTGCTTTTTGATATCAGTGGGAATGTGAACTGGAAGAAGCACAAAAACAGCTTAATACTAATGACTTAGGGACTGATATTAACCCTAAGTATTCCCATGGACTATTTTTCTGGTCAGCAACCCATTTTGATCTCTAAGGAAAAAATGCATTATTTTATAAAAATCCTTAGTATCCTGTTTCTTGAGTAGGAATCAGCTAAACTGCAAGCTGTATGGAAAATTTGTATTTATTCATAAGCTTGGGAAGAGGTTTAGTAATCTAATTTCAGATTCCATCTAATTGATATCTGTGACCCTAAATAGCGAAGAAGAAATTGTTGAATTAAATACTCCTGCTTTTCAGAACTTTGCTTCACTGAGTTTGCTTTGTTTCATTTTGTTTTTAACAATACATATAATCTACTATCCGTAATAAACAAATTCTGTAGTTTGTGGAAGGGTTAAGTTTGTTCTCATTCAAAAGATCACTCAGTAGTGCTGTTAACTGTATTATCTGAATTACCTTTATCTTTTTTTTTTTTTTTTTTAATGTGTGTATATAAAAATATTTAGGGCACAATGGAAAGGCAAATAGTGCTAGATGGAATCATAGAATCACAGAATTGTAGGGGTTGGAAGGGACCTCCAGAGATCATCGAGTCCAACCCCCCTGCCAAAGCAGGTTCCCTACACCAGGTTGCACAGGTAGGCATCCAGGCAGGTCTTGAACATCTCCAGAGAAGGAGACTCCACCACCTCCCTGGGCAGCCTGTTCCAGTACTCCGTCACCTCACTGTAAAGAAGTTCTTGCGCACATTTGTGTGCAGAACTTCCTATGCTTCAGTTTCTGGCCGTTTCCCCTTGTCCTGTCTCCACTCACCACTGAAAAGAGTCTGGCCTCGCCATTCTGCCCCCCACACCTTAGATATTTATAGACCCGGATCAGGTCCCCTCTCAGTCTTCTTTTCTCAAGGCTGAACAGACCCAGTTCACTCAGCCTTTCTTCATAGGAGAGATGCTCCAGGCCCTTCACCATCTTTGTGGCCCTCCGCTGGACTCTTTCCAAGAGATCTCTGTCTTTTTTGTACTGGGGAGCCCAGAACTGGACACAGTACTCCAGATGAGGCCTTACCAGGGCAGAGTAGAGGGGGAGGATCACCTCCCTCAACCTGCTGGCCACGCTCTTTTTAATACATCCCAGATGGACCAGAGCAGTATTGGAAATTACAGTAAGACTCAGAATAAAGGTCTCTGCAAATGCCAAGATTTCACTGCTGCTGCTGTGGTTGTAACACAAAACTTCCCAGTTCCACTTCTACTACCCATTTCTATATCATGAACGTGCATATATTTATAAACTGACATTATCATCAGTAAATCACAAGATAGGGATGTTTCTTTTTTTCTTCTTTTCTTTTTCCTTTTATTTTTCCCACACATTTTTTTTCCTCATGCAAAAGAAAGATGAACTATTGTTTCAATCTTATATTACAATAAAAAGGGAAAAAAATATGCTATAACATTGCATGACGTACTAATATATATATGCTAAATGTAAAACAATTTGTAGGCAAAATCTATGCAAAATTAAATGGGAGATACTTCTGAATAAAAATCAGAGTCAATCCTAGAGGGGATTTCCTTTTCACCTACTATTTCTAAATATTACACAAATTTCTGTCAAACATTTTCCCTTCTTCGTTTTCATCATTTCAGATGTGCTCTTTCTTTTTTGTCATTGATAATTTGCTTGCATGTTTTCTAATGTTTGTCATAAGCCTGACTGTAATATTCACTCATCACTGAGTAAGTAGAAGTTCCTCCAAAAATATCCCTTTTGTCTCCCTGAGTCTATGTCTTTTGAGACTATGTAAAATTTCTATTTAGAAGAGTGTACTTTTCTTCAGAACAATCACAGAATCTTCAAGTTGTGAAAATAATTTTTATTTGCTATAGATATTTTTAAAATATACTTACTTATGGTGATGCTCTGTGAAATCAGAAATATTGCAAAAACATTAAAATAATCATGAAGACAACTGAAAAAGCGTAATCAAACAAAAATAAGATTTTATTCGGAAGAAAGATGTACTGTATTAGAGAAAATATGTTGCCAACTGTGAAACCTTAATTTTCTTATGAATCAATTTCCATTTTTATCTTACAAAATATAATTATTACTTATCTCTGATGATTTCTACTAATCAAATTAAAATAGATTATATATTACATATATATATGTATATATGTCTTTTTTATACTTTTGTTTTTAGATAGCAACAGTACAGTGTTTTTTACACTGAATAGAATAACAATAAAGCAATTGGTTTTGAAAAACAGTTATATGGGAGTAAATATATTGCTATAGATAAAAACAGCATGTTGATAATGCTTGGAATTACCATGGATTTGTAACCCGGCACAGAAGTACTGTGTGAGATTCTGAGTTCAGATACAGCTCAGAAGTAATAAGGTTTTGCCCTTTAAAGAACATTTTATTTATTATATTTTATATTATATATTATATTTATTTATATTTATTATATATTTTAAGTTCTCATATCACAGACCATAACATAAAAAGAATAAGCAGGAATCAGTCTCACAAATATTTAAATCTGAGTAGTAGAATGAATCTTAATCAATAAACTACAGTTTAGCTCTATTTCTAGTATTTATAAATTATTTCTCTATTCTGATAAGTATATTCAAGCATGTATTATTGTAAATTCATTACTGTTACATTAACATCCCAATTTATCTCATATTTAGCACTTACTTACAGTATCACAAGAGAGATGCACTTCCATAGTAATAACTTTTTAGAGAACTCTAGTAGCTTCTGAAACACCCTTTCTGTTTCTGAACAGAATCCCTGGGTTACAAATGACAGTAGACGTTAACTTGTTCTTTATTTTTGTAATTAAAAAATGGATGCACATTTTCATTTTCCCACTCCTCCAGATATCAGCTGTTTAGAAAAAATGACATGTATGACACTGAATGTCCATTTTTGTTGTTGCTGTTTATAACTTTCTCTATGCTATTAAAAAGTGAATGAGGTTTATATTTTATAACTTACATTTGGTGACATAGTTTGAGATCTCATCACACTTAAAGTGTAGGTGTTTACAGAAAGAAGGTTTACAGGGACTTAGTGAATATATTTGGCAGTGATACTCCTGTGCAAGTAAAGAAAAAGTAGATGAGTGAGCTATTAAATCAGACAGTATTGACAAATATTAAAGCTTTGCCCCGATCAATACATACAGGTTTTAAGAGGCTGTGTAAAATATATAATCACTAACTAAAATCTTAATCTGATGAAATGTTTTCACTCGTTATCTTCTCCCGGGAATCGGTTGATCTCTTTTGTTTTGTACTTTGGTTTCTGTTTTCAAAATCTGCGAGGTAAGGAAAACCAAATGATAGAAAAATCCTTAAACATTCAAAACAGAACAAAATAAAATTAAAAAGAAATATATTAAACTTTTTTGATAATTTCCACACTGTCTTCAAGGTTGCAAGCTAAAATTTCAGTGACAAGTCTCCTGAAGCAGTCACTGGCTGAGTCTACTACATTGTGCTAATTAAATCACATTAGGCTTACTGTTTTTTTTTAACACTTTTTAAAAAGTTGTTGAGCAATTTCTTTTGACAGGTTGCACCCAAGGCAAAGACATGCCAGTGGAAGTTAAAAGAGATCAAGAAGAGAAAATGTTTTCCCATTAGAAAATCACTGAAACATTCTACGTGCCTTAATGGTAGCTGTGATATATAACATTCAGAAGTGCATGCTGTACATACAAATCATATTTTTGAAAATACCTATTGGTTATCACATCACATATATGTGATAGAATTTATTTAAAGAAAAAAATATAACCAAAATATCATACAGTTCTCTCAGGATCCTAGGATGCATTTCATCAATACCTATAGACCTACTCATATTCATCAGGTGATCTCACATCTGATCTTCTTTCACAGAGGGAGACACTGCATTCCCCCAGTCCTTGCCTTGAGGTTCAGAGTCTTTGCAGACTTGAGAGATGTGATAAAAGAGATTGCCAGTGGAGACTGAGGTTAAAAAAAAAAAAAAAAAAAAAAAAAAAAAAAAAAAAAAAAAAAAAAAAGAACTTCAGCTTTCTCTGTATCTGTTGTCACAAGTACTGCCATTTTGCTTATCAGAAGGAAAACACTCTCTCTAATGTTCCTTTTCTGGCTAGAATATCTGTAGAATGCCTTTGTATTATTCTTCACGTCCTTAAAAAGTTCAGTTCTACTTGTGCCTTCGGTTTCCTGATCCAAATCCTATGCTGCTGGGTGGTGTCCCTATATTATCCAGGCCTCATATCCCTGCTCCCACTGCCTACAAATTTCCTTCACATGTATCTGCAAATCACCTGTATGGGGTCAGCAAGTATCTCACTGGACTGCAGAGAAATATTTTGTGATGGTAACTGGATACCAGGTTATTTTAAATACCAGAAGCCTATGTGAGAGAAACTCCATTTTTTATCTTTACTTTAAACAGTTACAATAAGTCAGTAAGCAATAAAGATTTAATGTGATCATCTGCAAGAGAAGTACTAAGTGCCATTTGATACCTTCCTTGTGTCACGGGAATTTAGAGTGAAGTCATCACAAACACACAAGTCAGAAACATAAATTAGAAGATTTATTTGCTAGGTGTAATGTGTACAGGGTGGAGAACAATTTTGGTTCTATGGCACAAACACAGACAGAGATACATACATACATTTTGTACAGAACTTATGTACATCATGTCACATGATGTCAGGTCAAGATGTGACAGGTACCATAGGCTTAGGTGCAGGGGGAACAGGATTTTGACTACTGCTGATCAAGACATGATTCCACAGTTGTAGTTCAATATGAAGAATACAATCGGAGCAGATTTTGTCCTGGGTATTTTATTTATAAAATGCGGGAAATCCAGGTATTGTAAAAAACATAGTTGTATGTGGTCCTGTTTGATACACAAATCTTCGATTTTCTTAGCTACAGCAGTAAAACAAATAAACAATAGCAAAGCAAAAACAAATAAACAATCAAACAACAAAAACAAATCAACAAAGGCCCTCAATTAAAATTTAGTTAAAAATTAATAATAACAGCTTTAACGTGCAGTCATGAAGCTTATTGTATCAAGAATATGAATAGCGGCCTATATATCTATATATTAATAAAATGGCAATTATTACTTTGATATATTAGATACAGCTGTAGTACACTTTGATGTATAAACAATATCTAAGCATACCTTTTTCCTAAGCGCTGTCTTAGTTTTGTCATGTTTATTTCTTATGTTTATAATAGGATGTACAGAAAGATTCAGGCTTCCTGACCTTTTGGCCTCATAGATCAAAATAAAGTTAAGGAATACAGGAATATCATAGAATCATAGAATGGGCTGGGTTGAAAAGGGCCACAATGATCATCGAGTTTCAACCCCCCTGCTATATGCAGGATTGCCAACCACCAGACCAGTCTGCCCAGAGCCACATCCAGCCTGGCCTTCAATGCCTCCAGGCATGGGGCATCCACAACCTCCTTGGGCAACCTGTTCCAGTGTGTCACCACCCTCTGCGTGAAAAACTTCCTCCTAATAGCTAACCTAAACATCCCCTGTCTCAATTTAAAATCATTCCCCCTTGTCCTAGCACTATCCACCTTCATAAACAGCCATTCCCCTTCCTGTTTATATACTCCCTTCAAGTACTGGAAGGCCACAATGAGGTCTCCCTGGAGCCTTCTCTTCTCCAAGCTAAACAAGCCCACTTCCCTCAACCTTTCTTCAAAAGAGTGGTGCTCCAGCCCTCTGATCATCTTAGTGGTCCTCCTCTGGATCTGCTGCAAGAGCTCCATGTCCTTCCTGTTCTGGAGGCCCCAGGCCTGGATGCAGTACTCCAGATGGGGCCTCACAAGAGCTGAGTAGAGGGGAACAATCACCTCCTTCTCCCTGCTGGCCACCCCTTTTTTAATGCAGCCTGGAACATAGTTGGCCTTCCGGGCTGCTAGTGCATTGTTGAGAACTGAATCGCATTCCACCAGTCTTCCCACTTCCCATCTGTTCATCTCTGAGAAACACACCGTGCTTCTTATGTATCATCTGTTTTGTAGTACTGTTACATAAGACTAAGAAGTTAACCCTGTTAGCACGTTACTGCTGGTGTGCTCTACTTAATGCGCTACCTAAGGGGATTCGCATCACCTAAACATAAGGAGGGGCCTCATTTCCTAGCAGTACAAAATAACTACCTGCTTCCTTCTGCCTGTAAACTTATTGTCTAAAGATAAGTCCCTTAAGAAGCACTGGTCTACTGAGATCAGGTGTGGCACAAGACACTAGATGCCTGTGAATTTTTAGAGTGGAAATTGGATATCAAGGGGATCATTAAAATTACATCTAAAATGTATTGTGCTTTAAGGTTTCAAAGACAGCATAGTGCCTAGTATAGATCAAGAAGCAATCAGTTCTGTAAATATACAGCCATTTGACACTTCCTATCCATCTGCCCTTCAGCTGTTTATTCAGAAGGGCATGAATCCCTGCAAGTTCTCTGCTATAAGTGTCATGCAGATTTTCCAGATAACCTAAGGAGCTTCAAATTAAGGTAGAAACTTATGTGTGGCAAATGAGTTGAGCTTGTAGCCAGTTTTAAAGTAACAGTTTATTTTATGGTAAGCTGAGTCAAGATTGTATTGATTAGTTCACCTTCAAGGGAAGCTTGTACAGCTAGTTCACATGTGGTCCCTTATGAGGTATACACCAAGAGTCTATACTGTCCTCTGTATTCACGTTCTTGATGTGTTCTAGGATATGCTTTTTACGTTCAGCTGTTGCTGAATGGAAATCAAGACTTCATCAAAGAATATGAATCATATCTTTTATCCTTATTCTGGTGTTTTAGAAGCCTAAGGTTATTTGAGATGGCATGATATGCTTATGACTGAAACAATTTCCTTAGTGATAGTTAACTCCCACACAGTCTGTCTGTCTGCTGCTTGTTTGCCCCAATATCTTTTTTTTTTTTTTTTTTTTTTTTTTTAAATGAAAAGTCCATTTTCAGTTTTGAAAAGGCTCTCCTTTCTCACTTTTTTGGAACTTCTAATATCTTTTCACTTAATTACCTTCTGTTGGGGGAATCTCTTCAAATAAGAAGGAGAATCAAGAGAAGGGATTCTCCATGAGATGAGCTGAAGCCTAAACTATCCACAGTGCAAGCAAGAGCAAAGGTTTCACCAATTGAATCTCATGGGTCTACACGCCAAAAAATATTTTCAGATGAGATTAGTTTGTATGGGACCTGCTGATCATGGCCTGAACCTCTGAATCACCACCTGAGGCAAGCAATGAGTGAGCCGTGGGAGCACAGGTGAAAGCAATTCACCTGTGGAAGGTAGAGCCTGGCTCCACCTCTCCTACAATTCATTTAAGTGCTGACTGCCACTGGAAAAGGATCTTTTTCTGTAGGTTGCTCCTTCTGGAGTTTATTGGGAGCCTATAATATTGGTGAGCATTTTTCAGTTATTATTTTTGTATTTGCCACTCAATTTGAAATAATAAGCTTTAATATACTTTATCTTTTCTATGCATTGTTGTGACTTGTGACTTTGAATCCTAGTTGAGTTTCCTTTGTATACTAATTTAAAACCAGCCAGGATGCTCAGTAGTATCAAAAATGGCACCACTTGCATGTTTTCAGGTAATTATCTCATGAATGATATACATTTTAAATTTTGGGTGTCCTTATGTGGAGTCAAGAGTTGAACTTGATGATCCTTGTGGGTGCCTTTTACCTCTAGACATTCTATGATTCTATAATGCTATGAATTGAATAACTCTATAGGAGAATCTCCCACTGACACCTAGTTTTTTTCAGATGTCTAAATTTAAATTGATTTTTAAGAGCTAAAAAGCTCCAAACATCTTATCACCATTGAAAGATATCTATTTTCAGTTTCAGCTCCTATAATGAAGTTACATAGTCTGAAGACATCTTGTTTTCTTATGAACTGTGCTGACATTTATTTGAAGAAAGAAGTTCAGAGTGGCACATTAACAGTAATAGCCAGTGAAAACTAATTCAATTGCTGAAAAACTCATTTTGCCAGATTTAATGATCACTATGTGTATTTTTATGAGAGGAAAAGACAGAGAGAAGGGTTTCTAAGATCAAGGTGAAGAAAATTTTCATTCTGAGGATAATCAAGTAGTAGAATATGTTGCCCACAGATTCAGTGTATTTTCCATCCTGAAAGACTTTTCAAGTCCCAGACTGATAAAATTTTGAGCAACTTGATATGCTCTATTTTGTTATATCTGACCATTCAGACTACTTATGTTGTTTTATGAAAGAAAATTTGATACCTGTAT